AGAGCCTCAGGGAAATAACCATTTTCTTAGCTCGCCAGAACAGCGTGGGAAGAACAAGAGGATGAGACTGGCACCTCCCTGAGGGATTTACACTGTTGTGACTGGCTGACTTTGGGAACTGGGGTTTCAGTCTCGGAAAATTCTTGCTAGATGTTGTAGCTAATAAACATAGCTGGACTGAATTTACATGGTCTCTTGGAGTTCCTTGGGATAGGCCTTGACAGATCATATGCAAGTGGCAGAGTACGGGTATGTCTGGGAAGGGAAGCAGGCTACTTCATGCTATGCTGACTTGGGCTCCCAAATTCTGCTAGGCCATAATGTGACTTCCCTGGTTTTGGTTTAGCATGTGAGAAGGCATGTAGACTTGGCCTTGGGAAAAGGGAAGAAATAACCAAGCCGTTAAGGGGGAAGTTTCAAAAGAGATGACTCAATCTGAGTGTGTGAAGAAACTCAAAATAAGCTCAGCTTGAGTTTACTGGGTATAAAATGGAGCAGAGAGAGACTCTGATAGGCTTTCGTTATTCTACCTTACAACAACAAGGAACATCCTTAGATTCTCCTCTGTACCTGTTTTTAGACCTTACCTACCTCGAAAGGCTAACAGCATGTCATGTAATTTGCCAATCATGTTTAGAGCGTCATATCCTGAGTCAACTCACTCAACTGTAATTTATGCTATATACTATGTTTAAATTATCAATGGCTTTTTAAAGCAGAGGTTCTCAAAGTGTGGTCTGGGGACCCTTGGGGGTCTCTGAGACCCTTTCAGGGGGTCTGCAAAGTCACATAAATATTTTAAAATTTCTCAATTTTATTCTCTAATACAATAAATATCAACAGATATAACCCACATAAACCAAAGCTCTTTGGGGACCTCAAACATTTTTGAAAAGTAAATGAGTCCTGAGACCAAAATGTTGGAGAATCACTGGCTTAAAGCAATAGGGGATTCAGTCACAATCTTTCCTCTTGGTCTTCTGACATGCCATGGAGATATGACTTCTCCTTCCTGCACTTTATTTACAGGTAGTCCTTGTTTAGCGACTGCAATTGGGACCAGCAACTTGGTCGTTAAACCAAGTGGTTACTAAGTGAAACCGCAGTTGTGCTTATGATCTTACTTCAGCTTTCCTTTGTTTTACAGACTTGCGAAGGTCATAAATGCGAGGACTGGTCGTAAAGTTATTCTTTCATCACCGTTGTAACTGTGAATGATCTCTAAACGAGGCAGTCACTAAACAAGGACTACCTGCACTAACTTCCACTTCAAATCACTAGATTCACCTCCTTCTGCCAGACCTGTGTTGCTGTTCTCCATTCACATCCCACAGAACATCACAGGAAGGGCCATGGCCAATTTCCTAGATAGTTTTGAAGGGGGGAATTGGAAGCAAACTGCTACTGTTTGCATGTCTTAACCTGCCTCTTTTGTGCTGAATTTCAGCATGTCAGCCTTGGAATACTGGGAGTCTCCAGAAAAGTGTTTGTTGGGGTAGTTAGTGGCCTGTGTGTGGCCCTCCTCCTATGTACGTACCACAAGCGCAAACGTGACATTACATTTACATGCCTCACTCACGTTAAGGACTCCTCGTGTTCTCCCAAGTTGTAATAGAGCTTGCTGAGCTTAAGGAAAGCAGCCCTGTTGTCATTCCGCAGCTTGGTGGTGGGTTTCAAGTCCATGATTGCCTTATTGTAGTCACCCAGATGGAGGTAGCACTCGGAGCGCAGCTCTTTGGCTTCTGGATCCCAAGGGGAGATCTGAAATAAAGCAAGGAGGCAATTATTTTGCTCAACCTTGTCCTATCCTAATTGTGGAAACTTTATGCAGTCTTTCTAACCAAGAGCTCTCCAGATGTGCTACTGTAGAGCACCAATAATCACCAGCCAACAGTGATCCAATCAATCTGAAGTTGACAGGTTGGAAAAAGCCACGGGAGAACCCACCACGTGAAGAACATTACCCCCATTTTTGAAAAACATTTTGTTAAATATTGCCTGCTGGGCCTTGCAGTCATGCATGAAAGTTGCATTGCTCTGCCCCTGTTTTGCAGAATGTATCAGAATAAAAGCGCATCAAGAAGTAAATTCTTCTTGACAAGAGCAACCAGCACTTCTCAGTTGGGCCCAGAAATGCTATGTACTGTACATCACTGCTTTGAAAGGGCTGGGTTCAGACTTCAAGGCATTTAAATACCCAGACATGTTTTGGACCTATTTGGCCTCAAGCAAAACAAGCACATTCAAATCCTTGCATTCTAATGCCAGAGGGGTCGTAAGATACCGAGACCACCTTGGGACAGAAGAGAAGCCCAGGCAAATGTTTTCTCCAATGCAAGGTTGTCTGGATCCAGTCAAATACTCTGTCTGCTCGATTACATTAGCTTAGAGAAGATGAATTAAGAAGGTACCTCAATTACTCGATCCAGAAAACTGACCGCTCCCAGATAGTTTTTTTTCTGAAAGGCAGTCCGAGCTTCTTGCATGGAAAATTCTTGCTCCGTGACCCTTGACAGCTGGTTCTGGGCTTCTGCATCATCAGGATTGCTCTTGAGCTGGTGAAAGTGGCTTTTTAAATTATATTTATAAAAAAGCACATACATACTTTGCATTCCCTTGTTGCATATATTGAAGAAAAATGTTAAATTCAAATAGATCTGGACACGGCTTTATTTATTTAGCAACGTTTCTATTCCACCCAGCTCTAGAGACTCTGGGTAGCTAACAATCAAATAGAAACTCATAAAATAACAATAATAATCATGGCACAATGAGAATAGTATCAAAGAAGAAATGACAGAAATACACAGGACTGAAAACAATCTCTGCTGTAGCCCTTAATTTCCAAATGTTTCCTTAAAAAAACAGGGCTTTGTTGCTTCAGGAAAACATAGGAGTTTGGGCACCATATGGATTTTAGGGGGCTGAATATTCAACAGGAGCAGGTATTTAAAAGTCCTGCTTCCAGGGCCACCCCCCCTGCTTGAGTTGTCAAGAGGAGAATAACAGAGCACCCCTTTGGACGGATCAAACGGGATGGGTAGATTCCAACAGACAGTCCATCTGCGGCTGGAGAAAGCATTTAGGTTATCCACTAGATCGATGACCCTCTTCATCCCTCCTCCCCCATTTCAAAAAATTATTTTCTGAAACATGAAGATTTTAATCCAAAAGCACAGGCTGTCAGGTGTGGGTTGCCCCATGTTGCTCACCAACTATAGTGCCATTTCCTGGACATGTACACAGATAGGAAGGGTGAATTTACACTGCCAAGGAATTGGGTGTTGCTGATGCACAAGTGAAGAGAGTAACACCTGGCCCTGGACATCTTTAAACCCTACTCAGCCATGGAGTGAATGCGAACATGACTCCTCCACAGTTTCTGGAAACAGGTATTTTCCTTACCACGGCTTCAAAGTCTTGTTTCGCCTCCTGGGTGTACCCTTGTTTCAGAAGGATGTTGCCTCGCTGAAGCCGGGCCTATGGAGGTGGAGAAGATCAGACCCTTTGGAACCACCTTCCCCAACTTAGAACACAGCCCCCCCCGCCGCTTTTTAATACTAGGTCAGCATCTTGGGACCAGAACAATCCCTTTTCTCTTAAGAAACCCTTGCTGCTTAATCTCAGCTGGAACAGGAGGACAGAGGGGTGAAGGTAAGAATAACTTACAACCAGGAAATCCGGCTTGAGTTCAATAGCTTTGGAGAGATCTGGCAGTGCGGATTTAAACTTGCCCATAGCCAGGTAAATGGTGGCCCGTTTGTAATAGGTAAGGTAATTTTTCGGATCAATTTCTGGGGGGAAAAGAAATAAGCAAAGAGTGTCATTGTATATGTAGCAGGAAGGTAGGCTGTTATCTGTGGTAACAGGCAACCTTGGTAGCGTTCAGAACTAACCAACATGCAGGTCTACCTCCATCTGTGATGCATGGCACAAAAAAAGCAGCAGAAAAACACAACATGGTCCCTCGCTGGGTGCTCCCACCCGAGAACGCAAAATCCTTCCCTGAGTCATCTTGCAACCTCTACCATGTTATTGTGAAGATTAAAAAAAAGGTGGTGGGGAAGGAAATTGCCTTATTTGTCAAAGGAAGGGCAGATTAAACATGTGAGTAAAAATATTGAGGGCAGCCACTGAAGGAAAGGAGTCTTGCTACTTATCTAATAAAAGTCCGTCAAGAGGAAAGTAATCTCTTTGAAGGAAGCACCGTGTTATTTTGGTAGATAAGAGACACGGCCCATTTGACACGAGTCGTAGCAGGCACTATCTTAGAAAAGGCCTTTTGCATTGTGGAGAACCTGACAGACTGTATTTCACATCAGAAGATTTTAAAAGTGCTTGATGTTAAAGTAATATCTTTAAAATTAATAGATCCAGGCCCTGACAGCAGAACCAACTTTTTAGATTTTTACCTCGTCATTAAGCCTGACTATAACACTGAAACAACTCATTGATCCTATTATGCAGCAGGTCTAGCCTGTTTTGTAGTTATTAACGGTTAATAAGTGATCATCATTCTTTGCTGGAGAACAGGCTAGACTTGCTCTAGCTTGGTTCTTCTACCTGTCCTTTTTTTAAACTGCCTGAACGGATTCCTATACCTTTAAATTATTCCCACATAACAGATCTGTCAGTTCCTGTGAGCAGCCTCCACCCTAGAGACGCTGGGCAATGCCCCAGTGTTCATATAACCGCGTCAGCCACTGGGCAGCTGGTATCTTGCACTGGTATCCCAAGGCTGGTACTCACCCACTGCCGAATGGTAGTGTGAGAGGGCTTCAGCCAGCTGCCCAGCAGCTAGTAGCTTCCGACCCATTTCCAGATGGTTATCAATCTCAGCTTGCCCGGCAGCCAACAAACCTGGAAGGGATGAAATTGTTCAGGAGACCAAAAGCTAGGTTAGCGTTAGAAAAAGAGGTGCATGGACCTCCTAGGTCAGAGTTTCTTAATCTCCGCCACTTTAAGATGTGTGGACTTCAACTCCCAGAATTTCCCATCCAGCATGCTGTCTGGGGAATTCTGGGAGTTGAAGTCAACACATGCTGGCTGGGGAATTCTGGGAGCGGAAGTCCACACATCTTAAAGTGGCTGAGACCGAGAAACACTGATCTAGGTCCTCGCGTGCATTCTTAGCAAGCTGGTGATACAACAAGTTCTGCAGACCCTGAAGGTGGCACCTCACTAATACTGATTTATTTATTTATTCCTAAGGCACAAATTCTTAGCAATTCCTTCAGCTGCTAAGGGTTGCCTTCTCCTTGCAAAGTCACTCAGGGTGGCCCACCTAGGCTAGAAAGTGATTAAGAAAATATCAGGGACAAAACCAGACTTAACATATACAGCATTATTGGGTTTGTACACCGTCCTGCTCCGGTACCTGTGGAAAGAGACTGGCTTAATGGAGAGCGAGGTCGGGGCCATATGGGTTTCGAGGGGGGGGGGATGCTGGTGAAATGGTGAAAAAGCACCGCCTTTGGGCTCTTAGATTGCCTTTTCATGCGAACCAGAGAGCTGCTGTCCTCTGCTACGCATTTTTCTTTCGCCATCCTGCAATTTCTGCTAATCCAGGTCAACACCGAGCAAGATTTGATAGATCGCAGATAGGAAACGATACCCAAACATGGTCAAATCCTGAAAACCACACATTGTAAAAGCACTAGTAACGTGAATGCACTTTTCATGCAACTTGTTCCTTAGATGTTCTCACGCATCTGCCTTCCTGTTCTGAAGTCTACCGAAACTTTAAATCAAGGATAAACTTTTGGGTTATTCTATTTAGTTTTACTAAATGGAATTAGCTCTATGTTGTTATAAAACCTACCAAGGTCTACTTTATTCTTTTTATTGTAAAATGGTTTCCTGCTTGGTATTCCACTATTCCTAGGTTTTGATGTGTTTTTGTGTAGCCCAATTCAGTGAATATTTCTTTATTCCTGTCCTGTGCTGAGTTTTTAAATATTACTATGAGGATAATCGTTATATAGGCTGAAAGAGTTCGCCGAGCTCAGGCCCAATGAAACCGGGACCGAACAGAGAGGAGAACATTGAGGACTGGGAACATACTAAGGCTTAATAGGAGAGCCTACGTCGGAAGACACCAAGAGAGGAGGGATGGGGGAGAACAGGCGGAGCCAGCCAATCACGTTTTCCAGAGGGGAGGTCCTCTCGAGGAATGATTGGGCGGAGCTTACAAAGAGCAGAAAGATCGACAGGAAACGACTGTGGCAACGAGGGGCGGGGCCAGTGGAAGCTCGGTTGCTAAGGTCAAAAAGGAAATGGAGGTGGGATCCGGTTACTATGGTTACCTGGCAACTGTAGATCCAGCAAGACGCATAGCAACGAAGCGGCCCACAACAGCCTCCTCTCACAGTTGCCCGGACCCAGCCCGGGAGTGTCCGCGCCTCGTCCAAGCAGCCCCAGGCTGCGCCACACCGGCTGCTGCCCGGACTCCATGTCCCAGCTCCGGAACCCACTCACTTCCGCATCCGTTTTCTGGTCGGCAACGGTTGTTTCCGGCCCGCTACCCTTCTCTCTATTGCTCGAGTGTGGCGAAATGGCCTCTCTAGGATGATCATTCTCTCTCTCTCTCTCTCTCTCTCTCTCTCTCTCTTGTTGCACCCAATGGCAGTCAAAGAAAAGAGGAGGGATGGGAATTGCAGGGTGGCGCCTGCTAGCCAATCACCGCACTCTCTTTGGAGAGCCGTAGAACTTCGCTGGCCAATCAGAGCTAGAGCAGACGCGGCGGAGAGTCGGAAGCCGGCACTTGTTTGCGGGGAAAATTTGCAGAAGCCGAAACGGGGTGAGATTTTCAATCACGTGGTGCGAGAAAGTGAGATTCTTGGGTGGGGGAAGGGGATAGTTGCAAGGGCTTTTGTAGATTGGGGGAAGGAAATTACCATATACATTATTTTCATTACAACTAATAATATTAATAGTACTTCTTAAGGGTGCCTTATTATTTCCAGCGGAAGCAGAGGAACGAGGAAGAGCACGTGATGAAGAATGTGGCCCCTGAGCCTGTGCAGAGTGCTTCTCCTGTCCTTTCCTCAGGACTCCCCCATTGAAAGCCCAGGCATACATTCAAAAACTGAGCAGGACCCGGTAGAGACCATTCTTAACCTTGTGCGGTATAGAAAAAACTTAAGACAGGCAGCTCTTCTAGGATTGGCATTTCGTAATTCCCTTTTTTAAAAGTGTAAATGAAAAACCCTGTTTTTTGTTTGTTTTTTAGATTTTTTTATCCTGCCTTTATTATTTTTATAAATAACTCAAGACAGCGAACATATCG